TTTTTTTTTTTCGTTTATCTGACAAAAAGTGGCAAAAACCCTCAAAAATCGGCGTTTTTAAAGAAACATAAGGCTCGGAAAAAGAAGTAAGATTAGGGATTGAAAGGAATGTGACGACAAATATTACACGGAACAACGGACAGGAGGACAAGAAAGTTTGCATCCCTGTGCGAATGCTGCCCCTCCCCTTCACCACCACGGACCCCCACAGCCTCTACAACACCGGGAAACTCGCTCGCCTATGAGAATGCATGTCAGCTTTGGTCCTTATTATGTTCTATCTAGGCCGTTTTCGGACCAGGCAGTAACCCTTGTGCTGCTCTTGGAAATAAAAGATTCAACCCAAAAAGAAAATGCATGAAAAGATATCCATGCATTATTCCTCTTTGCGTTGAAACTGTTAGCTAATCGTGAACGGTATTTTCGAAATTGTTGTAAAGAAACAGATCGAACCAGTAACAGGTCGTATATCGCAGTTTGGATGGCATTCATCAATCCATCCAACTGAGTCGAGCTTGCCGGTCCCTTTGCCTCGTTCCTCGAAAATCTGCACTCGACTGTCTTTGTAGCCAAGTAGAAGGTAACAGGAACGGCCCTCAACTCGTGCCATTGAAGAAATCGCCACCTCCATCTGAAATTTGAGTGGTGACTTCGGATGTAGAGACCAGGATCGCCCATCAGTAAGCGCCTTGCTTTTTCCTCTATTATATATCAGGCGTAAAAGAATTGTTGACTATTTAGGGGCCATCATTCCTTAATTTTTTTTAAAGAAATGAGAGCCCGAAACGAAAATTCAATCTGTGGAGAGGTGTTTGTGATGATACCTTTTTCAACTCCATCCGTTCACTTTTCATTTTCTTCTGTTGATGGCGATCCAGATCGTTCCAGACTTGTAACGTCTTTCCACTGGCCGCATAGCATCCCATCGGACGTCCGTGGAAACAGATCATCTTAAAATTTATTGACTCGAGGAATTTCCAGGCAAGTCCTACGGTCAAAAAATATTCACCAATGAAACACAATGAAGAGGTTCAATTTGAGCAATGAACTTTTCTGACACAGTGAATTCGTGCTGTCCAGTTAGGAGGGCAACATAGGTCCTGAAATAGGGATTAGTACGATTGTGGTCGTTCAACTAGCGGTGATATATAAAGGTAAAGGCAGCAGCGACTTTGTGACCGCTTCGCGACCGCTCGCTACAAGGTAGGATGAACACAAAAGCGAGCACCATTTGACCTTTTTTTGAATTCATGACTTACCTGATCGCTTTATCGGCATACCCAACGGAGTATCGTAATTTGCAGGGAAGTGGCCGACATTCCATAGTTGGATCAAGGCTTACGTTCAGTACCTATAAGCATCATGATAGGACCTTGCAGAAAAGCTTATACCCTCTATACCTACCTCAACATCTTTGCCACTTTCGTCGGTCACCCGTGATTGCCCCAAATCATGCAGTCCAACCAGATTGTCTAAAATAATACAGGGTTTTATAAGGGTTCAGGGACCACTATAAATGTGACTAACCCTCAGTATAATGTAAGGCTTTGATGCGTACATAAGTCTTACTACCAGTAACGGCAAATGCACCACGATGATCGAGTGAAAATGGCGTACTGGCAAGGCAAATAGCACCCCCTGAGTGGTAGGTGACACGATGCCAACGATCTAAATTCATCGATAGTCAATATGGTGTTCGGCACGATGGTATGGGAAGAGAAGTAAGGCGGGAGGTTTCGGAAACTCTGACGTTTTTACAAAACAGCAATTTGTTATCAGGTTGGGTCAGGGCTCCGGGTTTGGTGGGTCATCAGCCCAACCTGACCCTGAATGCCAAGGCTTGGGTACACCATTGACCTTGAATCAGATCATTTCTACGTTCAAGCCTTGGCACAAATTATCCATGATGATCGTTTCTTCACGGAATCAGCTATTCGTTTGGCCGCATCGTGACCGCTCGCGTACCAAAGGTGTCATTCTGTTAAGAGTATGACTTCGGGAGGACAAGTGGTAAATTTGTAAGACTCCCAGGCCTCCTCGTAAGGTACGGCAAATCATTTCTCGAAGGGTACTGGTTTCTTTCTTGCGTCGTTTGCTCAATGAAAGTCAAGCATTTGGAATGATCCCATATAGCGATGGAAAACTAACAAGTCGGCAAAGCTATGGCCTTAACTAGGAATGAAACAGGATCAAGTAAATGGGTAAACAACATGAAAATAATAGTGAGGAAAGTTGACATACCATGATCTCGCTCAGATATCACGACTTCAGTGTCAGAACAATGTAAGGCTAGGTAGGTATCCTCTGTTGAAAGAATCTTCAAATCATTTATGGGACCGTGAGAGAAAGGATGAGCCATGAGACTGCTGAAAACGGAAGAAGACAGTACTGGTAAAAGAAACAAGGAAACAAGGTATTCAAAGTAGTGATCCTCAAGATCCTGCTAACGAACCCCATATCATGGCAAATCCGGCTGAACTATGAGGTTTAAGATAGAGATTTCCAAAATACGGGAAGGGTGCCTTCAACGCTTTCTACCCATTTGGGTTCTCATGAAAGTCAGAAGTAATGGCGATCACTACAAGCTCCTGCAACTTGCTCTGAACCAATGAGAAATTTAATGGCTGCTAGTTAGTAAGACCTTTTCTGAAGTAACCTAATGAAGCTGTTAAAGTGATATCAGGTTAGCACTTTACACAGGTGATCAGAAAGGAAACGGATATAAGTATATCCTTAGCGGTGATTCAAAACAGTGACTACGGTAATGCCTCACATGCCTAAGGCCATATGGCGGGTTTTGGGGGGAGGGGAGGGAGGCAAGTTTTTGCAGGACATTTCTCACAGGTCTGTTAGTTACTTTTACAATGATTTTATTTCTTTCGAGGGAGCTATTTTCTTCGCCTGAACAACGCTTCATGATCTATTACCTGACCTGGCAATGATGAAATGCTCGTATTTCCTCTCAGGATCGAACGCTAAGTGAAGCAATCCACCAGAGCCACTGCCGAGAATCTGAAGGATATAAGTTTACATGCGTTCACATTTCCACAAACCTATTCATGTGGGTATGTTCGTTTATCTCTTTTCACTATCTTTTCTATATCTCTGATTTTGAGCCTGATTGTTGCTGATACTACAGTTTCTGTCGCTCAATACTGTCTGTTAAGTATGGTATGGACGATTTTTACCGTGTTTGAAATGTATCCAACAGTTTCTACTGTCTGTTCGATGTCACGGTACCTACCCTGAGACCCCGAGTGTCGAGTTCGGATAAGATGTGGATAAGGTCTTGGAAATGGATGCTTTCGTCATTATACCCGATCCGGTTACCTTGCCTATGACAGTGCTGTTAGAGGACACTATACCACTGTCACGCAATGGGAGGGACGTGGAAGAGGACATCAAGCGAAAGAAGTTTACAACACTGTACACATTCTTATTGATTCATGGATTTATCTGACCATTCCTTCAGGTTACGGGTATTCTTCCCACTCAGCATTCCGACAAGTCCAGGAAGATCATCTAGTTTTTCTGGAATCCGTGTACACTATCACTGAGAACTGCTTCTCGTCTCGTTCAACTGCATCATTTACTTCCTAGCCGGAAGTGGGTTCCACCTCAACACCGTTTTAGCTCGCTTGTTGATGACAGTGAGCTACACTATATTAACAGTTGTCCCTTGATGTCGTGAGCTACCTTTCTGAGAATAGGGTGCCATACTTTTCGAAAAAACCAAACTGAACTTACCATTCCATCGTGCTCCATGAGAATAGAAGTCAAGTGATCAAACGAAGGCAAGGAAATAGGATTTCCAGCATCGAAGAATCGCTTTTCCCTGGAAAATGGGATAATTGCGAGGAGTTATTAATCTTTGCATCAAAACAGGCGCTTAAGAAACCAGTAAATCAGTGTAAGGAAATTGGTGTGAAGGATTGAACATAGGAAAAGTGTAGGGGATCTTAATTGGGAACAGAAAATAAATCTTCGCGACAGAAAAAAGGAGGTAAATATCACACTCGTGCAGTAGAGGGAATGGGTTTCTCACCGATATGACGGTGGAGAACCGCGTCGACTGTAAATATGGAAAATCAATTGATTATTGGAAATCGATATTATCTGTCAATACAGTAATGGACGAACGTACCGATAAAAATAGATAGGAAAGACTTCCTTGTCATCGGTGACATAGACACCTTCAACACCACGCATTAGACAAGCAGCAGTAAGACGAGTTTCATAAGACGAATCCAAGGAGATTGAGGCTACCCTGAATTGATTGAGTGGTATCAGTGCCTCGTTTCTGCGAGAAAGCCACCAAAGCATCCCGGGTGTGGTGCGTTAGGAACGAAATGGTCGCGTCGCTGTGAGAGGGGCGTCGCGCACGAAGGAGTGTAGCAGGATGCAGCAGTAGGTAAAAAAACAAGAACAAAAGTACTAATAGTAGAATTATGCATGAAATAATGATCGCATATCGATTGAGCTGTATGAAGGACGCTAGAGCTGTAATAACGGCGAATGGGTGGTCCGCGACAGCCGCGTGCGGCAAATTGATTACCCAAAATCGTTCCTAACGCCCGTCTCCCAAGCATCCCTGGTAGCCTACAGATTTCCTCGGCAAATAATTACAACCATCCCATTGTCGAATTAGTCAAGGAGTGAAAATTCATTCTGAGTCAAAAACTGAAGTTGCTTTAGATACCCAAAAAACATTGAGTGAGATCAAACACGTGGCGCAACCCAATGGAAGTAGTGAGGGTTAGCTTTCCTAACGTTTATTGTACTTTTTCTGGATCGTTACGGCAAAAAGTTTCCGAACCACAAAAATGCCGTAATAGAAATCCTATGCGCTTGTTTACTACTTACCCAGAGGTGTTTAGTCCCAGGTTTTTGCACTAGCAGCGATGTACACCAATGACCCATGAACCCTGTGCAAATGTTGTTCAGAGCAAAATGTCTGAGTCGATTAAAAGATTGGTCTTGCTGAGAAATTTTCTGAAGAGGTACCGTGTGGGGAATCTGCTTTATTGCAGGGGTATAGGGTATTCAAGGGCTGCAACCAGCGAATCTGTACGTATAGCCGAGGCGACCAGATCAAACAAGCCTAGCATTCTCGGTGTGAACTTCGGCTTGATTTTCTTGGTTCCTGAGAGACCTCATTGCCACTAAGCAACTGGGGAGCTACGGAAACCCCACAAAGTACAGTATTTATGAGACAGCATTACTTCGGCACTTCAACTGTAACAATTTGGACACACCGTTTTCCTTTTCGTGGATATACTGCCAACGTGGTGAGACCAGAAAGGCAATAAAGCGTCGGTTCCCGTTGAGTATCGTCGAGAAGGAAATGAGTGAAGTGATCCTAAGATGTGGTTGATTTACAATTTATCATCTCAACTTAATCCTGTGCATTTCTGTGATCATGTAATTCAGAAACTCACATTCTTTTCAGCTCGATGCTCGAAAATATGTTGTGATAAAATGAGTCGCATGTCTTTAGCAGAATCACAACTACCGTTCATCGATTCAATGATGTTCGACACCTGAAATGGGTTCTTTTACTGTGTGGTATGTGTCTTTAAATATTGGATGGTTTTAAAGTCCTTTACATAGAGGACAAAGGATGAAGTTTTAGGGCGTTGATCAATTCTTTCTGAGGGATGGCAGCCGCCTTACACTCAACTCCCATTCAAGGTCGTAGTTGCGTATTGAATGTGTAAAGGCCTATAAAATGACTTGCGGTAGCCAGCTGATGCACAAGTCAGGCTCCCAGATGGGCCTGTTACCAGTTAAACGACCCCGGCGATTGTTGCCTGGAGGCAGACGCTGCATTGCCCACACTGCAAATATAAAAGCTGAGCCTGTTGGACTAGCTTGTAGCTCGTCAGTCTATCGATGAAAGCGCTGTAGGGCTAATTTACCACTTTGCAGTGCAACCTTCGTCCCACTGCCTTCATTTTCTGCTCTAATGACAAACCGTTATCAGGCCCCACCGATTTTTTACCTTACGTATTCGTAGCTCGATGTTTTCAGTAGAACGAGCGACTTTTATATCCCTTCAGTTCTGAATTCCGCTTCCAATACTTCTAAGATCCGTACGGAAGTTGTTGTTCGAAAAGGTTCCTGGTAGGGTCGGAACGAGGATTGCGGTAAAGGGTATTCTGGTCAAGTGCAAGCCAGCCCGTGTGATGGCTTCCAGTTTTTTTTTCAGTGCCGATTCCTTTTAAAGTGAGTACAACTTGTGAAAAGAGGTACCTTCTTTTCCCATTCAGAGATCAGTGTCTTCATATCGCCAGCTTTTGCTTTACGCATCAATTCCTGTACCGTATATTTTCGCTCTTCAAAAACTGCTCGACTTTTCTCGATCAAATTGAAATCACCACTTTGTAAACACTGATCATGTAATTGAGAGAAGCGTGTTAACTCGTCCAGTTCCTAAATTTCAGCATTTGACAAAAACCTTCTGGAATGAGCTCTCTGAGGGAACTCACCGATTGGATCAGAGATATGGAATTCGTCATGGCATTATGAGCTTCTATGGCTTTCTGTGAAAGGACCAGCAGTTTCCGTAGAGCAATAAGACGTTGAGACACACGGTCAGCTCGTACCTTGGAAGACAAGCATTTTTCTTGAAATGTTGTCAAAATTTTGAGTCTGCTAAGCTATAGTCTTTAGGAGATTTAATTTTGAAATGGAAAAATTTAAATTGAACTGAATTCTAAAAAATGTTTCAAAATTCGTGGGTATCGTCAGCTTGTATACTATATATTAAACGCATCACCCCAAGAATCCTTTCCTTATTCGCTGGGTCCCTTGGTTCAACCTTTTTTTTCCTTTTCTTTTCTATTTACAGTCTATAATTGTCTTGAGTTCGCATACTGTTTTAGCCGGCGCGTCTACATGGACGTATAAATAAATAAATAAATAAATAAATAAATAAATAAATAAATAAATATTAGAGGAAAATGAGTTACTGCTTACTGAGTGATTGCGGAATTCGACTTTCAACGAACAAAATTCAACATGAGCAGCATAGATCTCATCGTTATCCTCTTCTTTTTCCCCATTTTGCGTTACACTGGCTGCTGGTGAATCGAGTATCTGGAAGGCAATAGGGTTACCAGCAGCACTACTGCACACTCAAATACAGGACTATTTTGATTGGGAAGTTCCTACCTTGGCTTTGAGAGCCTTCATCTTTTCCAGCATACTCACTCGTTTCTCCCTTTCGGCTTCCTCATACTCGGAAAGACGTTTGATTTCTGTGAAAATCACGTCCAACAACGTATTCACATTATTTTTGGAGACCGACAAACGCTAAAAGAGTGTAGCTCAGGTTGTATAGGGTAGGGACGCAGAAAAAGCAGGGAAACCTGTCGTCTGATACTCTATTCCCTGGCTAGGAACCCTACCTGTACAAGTAGCATATCGTCGTACTCCTCGACAATGATACCGACGCGGATAAAACCGTCATAATAGGCTACGTGAAGTATACCGCCATCTCGCCACAGTAATCCTGATTGAATTGGACGCCTGGAGTACGGTAAAAATTCGGTTATGTACTTGGAGTCAAGCCAGCTGAATAAACTCACGTGCAGCGATAGCATTGTAGGCATTCGAAGGACGTGTCCTCCATGTTAGTGCTGAGACTGTAGTGGGATATACCACTTTCGAGAAGAAATGAGAGAAGGAGCTAAAAAGAGGGTAGGAGCTAAATTGCTGGGGTAGAGATGGGGAACTCCGCCCACCAGAGGAGCACTCCGCCCCCTGCTTTGTTGATGTGTTATGATGAAACTTACGTCATTCTTTCCGTGTCGTTCCACGTTGAGCGATCGAATAGGTGACGGTAGCCGGAGCACCCGATGTTCCGGCACCACTCCACCCTCAACGAGGTACGACTGATGGAGCAGGCAACAGTACTGTTCACCGTGAACGAGGAAATGATCTGCAACATTCAGTTCAGAGCACGAAATCGTTGGCAATGGCCTGATACGAAATCCGCAGTTATGGTCTTGACTGCTCACCACGGAACTACTCACCTCCTCCTTCGACCGCTTTGATACCGATTACCGTATCTTTGCCGCCGAATACGGTGGCCACAGTACCCCTGATAGGTAGTCCGGTGTTTTGTGAACGTTCCAGCTCCATCGGATGGAACACCTCCACGTCACCACCACATCCTGTAGATGCAATTCGATAAGTATCTGACCAAAACAAGAGGAAGACGAGCGTATAAGAGTAATACTTCATATTTTCTAAAATACTAATATTATTCGAATTGTTGCAGCAGGTAGTGGTCAAATGTCTGGTCGAAGACAGTGACCCCTACCGAGAATTTTTTTGAAAACACGAAATCCTTTTACATTACCCTACGCTACTTTTCGATCTTTATATATGACTTCCACTCTATCTATCACTTCTCGAATATGTATTTGTGTGGATGCTTCCCACAAAGACTTTGGGAAGTTGTAAACATAAAATTCAGCGATCAGGCTTTCCTTTTCGGGCAGATTTATGTACAGTGGATCGAGATTAAGTTTGGATATATGAAACGGGGGCTAAATCTTTTATGTGAGCTACAAGTCATGAATTACTTCTATGGAGTCACGACTTCAGCATTTGTCCCAACCCCTTACGCGATCAGATTCAATCAAATGGCGGAAATCAATGTGAACCAATATTTTACCGCTATGGAATGAATGGGAAGTATGTGGGAATTTTTTCGAATATAGTTAGATTACAATAAACGGTTTTCAGGTAGAAGGTATTCAGTGAGCCTAATTTACCTTTATATTACTCTTACTCATGAAATGGTTAGCATCATTTTGGTCATGAGTTGTTCTGACTGACCATTGAGTGGACAACACTGAATCTCCAGGGGCTAGTGACGATATGTCATCATTGAAGGGAATATCGCCTGTGACTGCTAGACTGTCGCCCTCAAATCATTCTGGGATATGATCCCTGGCCATAGATGCGAAAAAAGCGCCACTTGCATCAGCTTTAAGTACTGGAAACCAGGTACCATGCAGAAGAGGGTTTTTTTTAAAATAAATTTCAATGACAGCAAGTCACAAGGTCCTGATGAAATTTCTGAGAAATGAGATGAACCACCGATTAAAATTCTTCAGAGACCTTATCACTCCAATTTCATAATCGGGCTGTTCGCTGACTCTTCAAAGGTATTACAGTCTGTGTATCACAAGTTTAAAGTTTAGCTCTTCAAAAAAAAACTCTGTCAAGTGCATCAACTAGTATGAACCATGACTCAAGGTATGCAGCCTGTCGGCCTAAATTCATCTCGGGATATGATCCCCTGACCATTCGTGCTGGAGAAGCCCTACCTAACTCGATTACGTCCCTCAGTCTAATACAACGGATATCAAATATAGTCGAATAGGAGGGACTTTCACGGTGAAAATAAAAACGGAGGTAAGAAAACGCACCCGACAACAGTCTGCCGTCGCGATGTCTGACGAGCACACGCCTCGGCTTGTATGACGGATTGTCGAGGCTGTGTCCAGGCAGATATTTCAGCTGTTGTGAGATATAGTGGGACGGCCTCTCATCTAAGATTGTCATACCCTGGAATTATATCGAATATAATAGGATTATCGATTGATATTGATTTCAACGACAACACATGGACAACCAAAAAGAAACGTTCGATCACGAATCACTGCTGTGCGATAGAAAAATTCGAGAACAAAAAAAAANAAAAAAAAACTAGCAGAAGAGAATGTCAAAGAAAAGAACTGTCAGGAAGATCAGTGGACCAGCTCGATTTTGCTGAGGACCACCTTACTTCCATACAGCCAAGTAGCAAGTATCAAGGAGTTACCTCGGAATAGATAAGGGAGCTTTCCATACTATCAGGTTCACTCATTTCGTTGCCGTTGCCGTGGGAACTTCCTCAAAAACGTCTTTCTAATAAGAGCGAATCACCTGCTGACGTTTCTCTTAACTTTAAATGCTTCTATGAACGAACAAAAGAATTGCTTCACATGGAACAGTCTGGACGTTCCCTTCAATCAGGCAGCAAATCCAAAAACCCAATTAGATTACCCTGTTGCTTCTCTATTCTGTATCCTCGTTTATGACATCAGGGAGCTTCGCAGCCATTGAGGATTTCTATATAAAAGCTCCCATATTGAACTTCCTTATAAGCTAGGCCACCACATAGGATCCTTCTGGTCTCACTGAAGCGATGGAACCTTCCGTTTGAGGAATTGATTGTGAAGAGGAACTCAAAGTTTCCAGAAAGTTTTGCCCGTTTTTAAATTTTTAACAAAGTATTTTGAAAAATCCAGACCAAGTCACAATCATGATGAGTGGTCTTGAGCATTTTGAGAGTAAAGTAAGCTCGACTTGGAGTGGCAAGTAAGTATTCAGCTGTCAACTAAAGAAATACCGTCAGCAGTGTTCACAAGAATGAGGTGCCTGCCGATCATAGTCAATTTCATTTCAGGAGGCTGAATGCATTTGTGTAAATAACATATAATGGCTGTACATATGCAGTAAAGCTTATGATCGCAACTTTTACTTTCTTCAAAAACTATCCACTCGAAGATTGGAATGATACAACCATTAGATCTCACGGAAAGTATCACCCAACAACTTCATAGAAGCTCAGAATTTTCTAGAAAGCTCTGGAAATCTTCACAGAAAAACTACAAAGTGCGCCACTCCTAAGTATCTGCATAACATAGCCGGTGATCTCATGATATCGCAGTCGGTTGAACAGATCCAGGATCATCTTCGATCTTTCCGTCACCTTCATTGAAGCTTCTTGATTAGAGGTGCTCAAAACCGCTTAGAATGCGCTTCAAGAGGAACGATGACACAAGTTCTGATAAGTCTCAGCAGCCGGATTCGAACTCGTAAAGAAAAACGGGTCGAATGGGGAGAGACATTTCCTCTACGATAGGGTTGAGTAAGCGGGGAGGAGGGAGCCAGACATGGCACACATGTTGGCAGTGTTCTTATACGGTGTTTTGGAAACTCCTAGAACATCCACAAAAGGGGTGAACTACTGCGAGATTCCCGGCAGATACTTAACAAGCGATGTGCTACCACGATTCGCTAGGGTAGGGAGTTGAGCTTTTCGATCTCCCGGCCTTAGCTCTGGTCACCCGAGGAATCTAATGGAACCCTCACTCAATTGAAAAGTATCGTATGCACCGCTGTACGAAGTAAAATTTCCAGACCTTGAGCTTCTTTTTGATGGGCATATCCACT